TGCCATGAAGATGAATAAGTTTCCCCTGTCCTCTGTCTTGAGCAGGAGGAAAAAAAGGGGAACTACTTGAGGTGGAGAAATAGCTGTGAAAGAGAATTTGAATTTCAATTTTATTAACTATTTACCTGAAGAAGCTATTTGAAATCATTACTGAGTTATCTCTGATTGGAAAGTTTAAATAGTTCCTCTCTCCATTCCCACATTCCAACTTTAGCAGAAATGGGGGTCCAAGAGCTCACTCAATGAATTCTGCTATAAAAATTCATGAAATGGAGGGTTGGCCCTGTGCCTTAGTGGTTAGGTTCTTGTGCTCTGCTTCAGCAGCCCAGGGTTCATGGGTTCAGATCCCAGGCGTGGACCTACAACACCGTTCATTAAGCCATGTTGAGGCATGTCTCCCACATACAAAATAGAGGAAGATTGGTACAGATGTTAGCTCAGGGCAAATCATCCTCAAACACACACAAAAAAATTCAGGGAATGGAAATTTCCTCTGCCCTCACATTACAACTGTACCAGCATAGGGCAACATCTCCTGGTATGAATGTCCTAGACTGAAGTTCTCAAGCCTGGAGGAAGAGATGAATCAGGCTCCTGGAGCGGGTTTTTCAAACTACACCTCTCCCCTACCCCATACCCTAACTCCATCCCGTTATTCTTGAGAGCATATTGTAGATATGAAAGATCTGGAAAAATGAAAAAATATTGAGAATTAGGGAAATGGAGAGATAAGTGGAAAATGGAGGTAGTCACCTGCTATTAGAAGATAGGAACAAAGCCAGCTGCCCAGTTTAGTATGGGCCCTAACTGAACAAATTCTGTGACAATAGACAGTGACATGAAGGCCCATGGAAGGTAGAATCTCAGGGAAGAAAATGGGAAGAAATGGCAACTGCATAAGAAGATAAAGCTTCCATGAACTGCAGCTCATCCTTCCCTTTCTACATTCATGGGATTGGCCAATGAACGTATGGGCAACATCTGAAGGGATTCTAGACATGATTAGCTTGAAAAGTTTAACTTCATATATGGTGTCATTTTTAATGTAAATCAAGTCTTGCCCCTCAGTCTGGTAATGACCCTCACGTTTAACATGATGTTTCCTTCACTGTTAACTACATTAGTGCATATAAAAGATGGGGGAATTCACTGAGGTCTGGACTTTTGAGAGTCTTTAATTAAGCCTTGTCCCCAGTACCTAAGAGGATTTAGATGCCTTCCATGTGTTCCTTCCTCCATTATCTTCCTTCCCTGAGTAGGATTCCATGGACTTATAACACACACACACACACACACACACACACACACACACACACACACAATCTCCCTAAAGTAGAGCCTAGGTAAGTTAGCCTTGGGAATATTTGCTGGGAGCTGACTGTGGAGGCAAGGGGCCATTGCAATCCTTTTTTTTTCCTACAACTGAAACTTAGGTTTCCAAATGTCTGTTCAACAGGGATGTGAAGTGGTTATTATGTCATAGTTTTGCTCCTTACACCTTCAAGTTAACAAAATTGAGCTGATTTCTAACAAGTTAAATGCACACGCGTTTTGGAAGGGGGGTGACAATACAATGTCTTTTCAAGCTACAACTTAGGTGATCTTTGAAGATAGCGTTGAATTCTTCTGCTTGAGTTATGCTGGCTAATAGGAATTTAAGTGATAACTGGTGGGAGAGCATTGAAGCATTCATGCATGGGAAATCAGATGAACATCCACAATGTGGAATTTCCTAAGGAAAGTTATTCTAGCAGAGAAACCAGGGTCAGGATGAGTGCCAGCAACTTTTAAACCAACATGTGGAGCTATCATCCTACTAAGTTAACAACTAAACGTGCCCGAAGAAAAGCAAGACCAACATTTTCAAGGCTATATCTTCAAAGACATTTAAAAACACCAGCTTAAACAAATTTATATATAACTTCCTTTCTCTGTTGAAGAGAATTTAATCTTACTTTCTTAATTTTGGTTCAATGTACCAGTGCTTACTCTTGCACGGCACTCATAGAACTTAAGTAAATAAATCTTATTTATTTTAATAAATCCTAGTTATTAATGAAATTTAATTTATTGATAATTTAATTTTAATGTTTTATTATGTTTTAATAAATCTTACTTATTTCAGTAAATAGCTAGAAATAACAATTAATTCACCTGTGAAAAGGAACTGAAATCAAGAGCTCTAATTCCCATTAGTAATTATAACACTAGTCTTCTTGAAACATTTTCTTTTAAAGGATCCACTTAAAACCATATCAATTTCCCTACTGTCATGCAATTCTAGATTGCAGTGTGACTTCAGCTTCAGCTTCCACTCATTAAGTTTAAGGAGACGCATTCTAATATCTATCGTGTGTCAAATCAGCTCAACTGCCTTGCAAAGTTGCCTAAACTTTGTGAAATATTAGTGGATCAAATATATGAATCCTGAACTTTTCATAGTAGATATCCACAGCTGTACACAGATGTACATCACATCATACGATATATAAATAAATTTACCCCTAAGGTTTTTCAAAATGTAGAGGTAAAGCCGAATCGTTGCTATTGCACTCATTTTACACTATTTTTTCCCATCATATAGAGAATTTGGAATAATGTTGGTAACCGTCATGGCCCTTGGGTTCTGTTTTCTCATTTACAAAATAGGGCTAATGATAATATCTGCCTCATGTGTTTGGAGAAGAGCAGCAGAAGGCTGCCTGATAATAGTCAGTGCTCGATCAAGGTGAACTATTATGCTACTGCTATCGTCATTTTTATTATTGCTCAGCAATTTTAAAAAAGTAGACAATTAGAAAAATGCTCTTTCTATTGGACACCTGGCTCATGCTCATTCATCATGTATCTTTTGAAATTTAGCCAGAGCTGTGATAAGTTATAGTGTCTACTTCAGTGATCTTTAAGCTAGACTGCTGGAATATTTTATTTTATTAACGTCCCTGAAAAAATTCAACAAGGCTCTTCATGGGTACGAAATGTTACAACTTGAATGTTACTTTCCAGGAAGATGACTCAATATATTTTACCCTAGTTGAGAGACAATATTCTGGGCTCCCCGATGTAAAAGGATTTCAAACTCCTTGAGCATATGGTGTTTACACGGCTTTTGTTACCGTAGCCTACCGTTGTTGGGGTACCTATTCATCTATTTTCAACTGATGTGTCACATAAAAGGAAAAAAAAGAAAGAAAGAAAGAAAGAAATTGCAGTCAAATTCTGTGTAGAGAGACGTGGCTTTAGTCATTGTGTATCTTAATTAGAAGAAATTCTCCAGCAGTAAGGAATAAACTGTGGGTTTATGCCTAGAGATCACTTTAAGGGTCTGGATCTCATGATTATGACTCATGTTTACTTGTTGTCTTCTTTTAAGTTGCAATCAATTTCCAGTGTACTAGTTTCACTGCACAGAAGATGAATAACTTTATGAATTTAGGACAATTTCTATTACAAGCAGTTATTTTCCAGTCTGAACTGTGTGGAAAAAGAAGAAAGAAAAGGAAAAAAAAGAGCACTTTTCCGAAATGGCTTTAAAATTATTTCTCTTTGGAAATCCCTTTGAAAATGACCAGATTAGAAGTTTTAGCCATTGGGTTATAATAACACTGATGAGTAACAGATTGAACAGGTACTTCAACGAAAAGTCCACTTCAGGAAGAAAAAAAAATCTCAGTTCTATCTTGATTATGTACTTGTGTTGCACACCATGACAACTCACCAATTTAGGCTGGTTCTATGCATCTGAAAAAGAGGCTGAAAAATTATTTTAAACGTCTCTGAAACACTACACAAAACAGTCCTTCCTCCAGTTGTATCCCTGTCCCCCATATGAGAATCAATATTTCTTTCCTTATTCCAATCAAGACCATGAAGATAACCACAGGATGGATTGGGCAGTGTGAAGGATTCTGGCGCATCTCTGCTTCCAGTGCGTTCTTTTTCTCTTTTTCCTTTATTTACCTTCCCCTTTACAAAAATCCTTGAGCTCTTGTCACATACAAGGAAAAAAAAAAAACCTGTAAAATATTATTATTGGGTCCTAATTGAAGTTATTTTTCCATTTGGAGGACATCCAGCCTCCAATAATATTTCAAACAGAGCATGTGTATGACATCCAATGTCTTAGTGATGAAATCTGAAAGACCCAAAGCACTTTGTTGTTTATAATAACACTATTAGCACATTAAATTCAATCATAAGAGGTTAAAAATATTTCTTAATACAAAGCAAGTTTTCATGCACTTATTTCAAATTATTGGCTTACTAAAAATGGCAAACACTTTGTTGGTGCTCCAAAAACAGAGACCCTTACTGATACCTACAAAGATTTGATAGGTATATATTTTAAGGAATGTGAAATGCAAATTTTAAACAAGCTTGAAAGCTATTTTGCATTGCTCATGCTGAACCATCTTTGAACAGCAGTCTCCTGTGAAAGACATTCATTCATTCATTCGTTCATTCATTCACTCCCTCCTACATGAGATGCCTCAGAGCACACATTTTATGCCAGGCATGATCTTAGAATACACAGATGAAGACAAGGTCTGTGTCTTAGAGAAAGAGAGCTCACATTGTCTCTCTACCCTATTAAGTGACATTCAACATTTTCAGTCCACAGTTATGAGAGTTAAGGAGACAGCAATTCATATCCCAACTGATTAAAAAACCTGAGCTCTGAAACGGTCATCTTTCACTTGACCAGAGGTAGATGTCCTCAAACTATACACTTTATTAAGAAATATTAAGATAAAGCAAAACAAAAACAAAAAAAATGTTACTCAGAAACCAAATAATATCCTGGCCTTTCCTTTTTCATCAAAGTGGGAATGGGACAAGAGTGTGGCACACTGGGGACAGGGAACCAATTTGGAATTCCCTGTCTTCTAACTGCCTGCAGGAAATGATTTCTTGGCCCCTTAGTAGGGTTACCTACAAGCAACGTTCTTTGTTCCTCGGTTGGGAAGGAAGAAAGGAGCTCCCGCTGTCCCCCAACTTACTCGAGCTTTCCCCTGAAGCTCAGGCCGCTTCGTTCCCCCTGAGCCAGTGAAGGTGGAAAGTTTTAGCTGAGCTGACCTGAATCTCCTCCTAGCCACGCAGTCGTGCCTCAGCCCCGCAGCGGCGTGAGAAAGCTCTGGACTCCGGCCAGGGGCAGCATCTGTCCACCTCAGGCTCCAAGCGTCCTGATCCGATGCCCCCTGGTCTGGGAGCTCCCTGGGCGTCCAGGTTTGTAACGCCACCTCCCGCGCGACCCACCCGCCCTGCCGCGCGGCCCCACCCACTAGCTGTGGCGCCCCAGGGGCTCCCGTAACTCCTGCGCAGCGCCTGCTGTTTTTTTCAATCATAAAAAAAAAAAGTTTGTATTTTTCCTTTCCGATTCTAAAAGTAATATGATTGTTAAGAATAATTTGGAAAATCCAAAAAGATGTACATAAAAATAAAAAATAGCTATAAAGAGAAACACTAAGACCATTTTAGTGCATATCTTTGCAGTCTCTTTACTATGGATAGAGAAAAAATAAATAGATCTTGCCTCTTCTTGGCCTCTTTCACACACACAACTATACAGATATGATGTTCATAGATACACTTTATAAAGTTCTGTATATCTTTGTGTGTGTGTGTGAGGAAGAGTGGCCCTAAACTAACATCAGTTGCCAATCTTCTTTTTTGCTTGAGGGAGATTGTCACTGAGCTAACATCTCTGCCATTCTTCCTCTACTTTGTTCATGGGATGCTTCCACAGGATGGCGTGATGAGCCGTACGTATGTCCGCGCCTGGGATCCGAACTCACAGGCCCTGGGCCGCTGAAAAAAGTGCGTGAACTTGACCACTACACCACTGGGCTAGCCCCTGTATATCTTTTTTTTAAGAAAAATACTTTTAAAAACTTTTTACTCTAAAATGTGCATATTAAGAGTTAAAATCCTATTGTATATATTGAAAAGCAAATATTTAAGAAAAAAACAGCCATGTACCTTCCACACATCTTCGGAAGTAGAAAACTATCAATACATTTGAAGGAATCTATGTAGCTCTAAGGATTGCATCGTTCTTCTCACCACTGTTAGGAATTCTGTGTTCTTTTCACCACTGTTAGGAATTGTATGAGAAACATTCCCTTGCTTTTCTTTGCAGTTTAACAAATAATATATGTATCACTTTTAAGGAAATACGGCACAGTACAGAAAAATGAGTTAAACTGCAAATGTGTTCAAAGAATGATAACAAAGTGAAGCCACTAGGGTAACCACCACCCAAACAAAATAAAACATTCCTAGCACCCCAGAAGCCCCTCCTAATCACTATCCCTTTTCTACTTCCCCCTAAAAGTAAGGACTGTCCTGGCTTCTAACACCATAATTTAGTTTTGCTTATTTTTTATTTTTTTGAGGAAGATTAGCTCTGAGCTAACATCTGCTGCCAATCCTCCTCTTTTTGCTGAGGAAGATTGGCCCTGAGCTAACAGCTCTGCCCATCTTCCTCTATTTTATATGTGGGACGCCAGCCCCAGCATGGCTTGATAAGCGGCACATACATCCGCACCCAGGATCCAAACCCGTGAACCCTTGGCTGCCAAAGCAGAGCACACGAATGTAACTGCTGTGCCACCAGGCCAGCCTCTACTTTTGCCTATTTTTGAACTTTAGAAAAATAGTTCAGTCATGGTTTTATGATCTATACTGCCATTGACTATAGTTATCTTTTACAAAGTACACTCAATATGGTGATTATTTCAATTGGAAGTCTACTCTGCCTTCCTCACTTCACACTGTGTAGGGTGCATTTTTCTTGTCATTTAACATTCTGCTAAATATTATTTAGTTTCTGCATTATATTAAATTGGATAGATATACCATGATTTTATTGGAAGTATAAGTTCTTTTTTGGCCAACTTTTTCCAGGCATATGTATCTTCATGCGTGTCTTTTTGTGTACATCTCTGGTTATGTCTTTAGGATTATTCCTATAAGTGGAATTCCTAAGTCAAAGAGCACTAGCTTTTTAATGGTCCAGGGTCCTGCTGTCATATTGCTTTACTAAAAAATGATGCCATTTATTATCCTGCTGGTGATGTGTGATGGCATCTCATTTCAACTTTTCCAACATTAATTTCTTTTTCATATTTGTTAATTCGATAGGTGAGAGAGATTTTCCCATTGATATTTACATTTGCACTCTCATAATTACAGGTGAGGTTGACTACACATATCTATTATTAATTTATATTTCTTATTATAATTTGTTTACACACTTTTTTTTCCATAGTCTCCTCAAGTTTTGACATTGGTTTCTCCATGAGTAGGCAGCCTGCTTTGCTTGAGTCCCTCAGGTTAATATGGATGAATAGTGGTTCTTAAATCAAGGAATGGGCTAAATCTCAAAACCAGGCAAAAGATTAAGTAGTTGCTGAAGAGTGCAAAACACACGAGACTGCCTCTTATACTCCGTAAATAATTACAGGACAACGAGCCCCCAAGGAGATGATGCCACCATGCATAGCCACGCAGGTTGTATGTGGCATAGCTCCAGAGGCGGCACCATCCACACCCAGGCAACATGAATGGCAGCCTCTGGAATTGTGCACAGCCACAGCTGCATAATCCAATGCAGCTGCTTCTTAATATTTATATAACATTTACAATCACAAGTGGTTTTCAAGCACAGGTCAAGGAACTAGAAATAGAATAAATGATGTTGGATTAGAAACCTCTTTCTGAACTTTGCGTTTAGTTGTGAAAACGACTGATACAAAAATTTGATGCACCAAGAGTCATTGTTTCAGAAAACATAAAATAATATTAAGGGCAAGAAATTTAAAGCAAGGTTATCCCTGTAGAAACATAGTTAAAACACTCTCTGTTGGTGTGTGTAAAGACCTTTCAGGCACCAAAAGAGAGTAGGACATTTTCTTAAAAATACCAGGCAAATGCAATACAGGTTCTCTAACACCAGTTCCCTGGTGAGACAGTGAATAGGAAACTATTCGAATGGGTAAGCAAGTGACCCTGCAGTTAACAATGAACGTTTTAGAATAGAAGCCATTTTTGAGACCATCTTTTCTTGCAATTACCAGTTGTGGTTACTTGGTTGAAGTCACTCAGCATGAAGTTAGGAGGAATGATTAGAGATTGCAGATAGTCCTAATTGAAACTGCCAGCTGAGGCTCTCCTGGGTTGCTGAAGAGAAGGGTCACGATAATCCAGGCATCGTAGTGTTTTGTTTTTGGTTAACCTGCCATGCCCTCACTCCATCTGAATTGTTGACTATATCACATACTTTAATATTTTATACACCTCAGTCAATAGGTCTTAGGTTATTTCTTCTCAGGGAAGCAGGGTTTCATAGTCCTAGAAAGAACACTGGATTCCGAACCAGGAGACTGGATTTGAGCTTTTCCATTAGCAAACTGGCTGAGTTTCCTCATCTGTAGCATTTAGGCTTCAAATTAATTGATTATTAAGATGTTTTTTCTGCTCTAAATCTGTATATATATATTTACTTTAAAATGGAGATTTTCTTTAATTATGATTTAAATATGAATTTTTAAAAAGAAACATCAAAGAAGGCTTTCTCATGAGCTCAAAGTAGAAAAACCAACACACACAAAATATACCTTATACTTAATTCTGATATTATCCTTAACTGTTCTTTTACGAATCCTTTGTAAAATGATTATTATATGTGTAATAGTACACAAAATAATTTCTTATCAGGGATCTTGTCACAATGGTGGTGGGAGCAGACATTGAACTCATCTCCTCCCATGAACACACCCAGGTTACAACTATTTTTGGAAAAATTACCCTGGATCAGAAACTGAAAACTGGATTAAAAGAACCTCCACAACAAGGGACAGTCCTGACAAAGGCAGAAATTCCTGCTGGGGAGGAAAAAAGCCACCTTTGGGAACAGCAGAGCTTCTCAGCTGGCCAGGTGGGAGACACCCTAAGGTACGCAGCCCTCCCTGTGATGAGGATTTTTAGGCTGCTTAATTTTAAAACGGTTTATGATGAGGATTTTTAGGCTGGTTACTTTTAAAACTACAGATGAGAAGCAGGCTCCAAGGAGTGGAATTTACTTGTCCCTTTGTTGGGAAAGATTTACATTTCTAAGGAAAACCTCTATCTGTGAAGATGCCTTCCTCTCTGTGCCAGGACGAAGGGGGATGGCCTTATCTCTAGAAACTCTTAATCAATGCCAGAGGCCAGAACTTAAGTTGTTTACTGTCTGGCAAACTCATGTAACTGAGCACCCCCCCAAATCCTCCTTTGTCTTTAGCGGAGGATAATATTCAAGGGGTGACTTCTGCCATTTACTCAATCCGGTTTGATTCTTATCTAAAAGTTGTGGGACCCTACTGGCACTGACACCATTTTAACTCTTTTACATATTTCTTTGTCTTGTAAAGAGATAACTCACATACCTATGCCTTAAATTTAGCCTTACTCTCCACCCAACTTTGCAGCAGAGGCAGCAGAGGCAGCAGAAGCGGCCCCAGCAACAGCAACATGCCAGCAGCAGCTCTGCTTGCCCATGGGTCCTGTCCCCATGCCAGTGGCGGCAGCAGCAGCTCCCCATGCCAGCAGCATATCTGACTGCCCGTGGGCCCTGTCCCCACGCAGCAGCCTGACTGCCCATGGGTCCTGTCCCCATGCTATTCTATTCTCTAAATAAAAGCACTACTGCCAGATCTTAAGAGTCTAAGAAATCTTTCTTTCAACTCCTCGGCTCACCGACCCCACATCACCTGGAGGAGTGAGGTCTGGATCAGGGGTGATACTGCTATAAGCATCCTACAGACTCAGCCCAACTGAGACGGAGGTCTTACTGTCTGGCTTTTAACTGCAGCGAGGATAACCCCAGAAAAGCTATCAGCCGAAAGCCGAAAAGACCCAGGTCTTAAAGGGCCCATGCACAAACACTCACTGCAGCAACCTAAAATCACCAGAGAGAAGGCTGACAGTCCTTTGGTGAAAGAAGACTTACCTGGGCTTGGGTTCATCTTGGTGAGAGGAGGGAACTCTCTGGAGACTGAGACATTGGTGGGGGCCATTGTTCTGAGCTGGTCCAGGCCTGCTGACACAGACCCCTGAGGGTACCATTGAGGTTCATCCCTTGGCCTGTTAGTCCAGGGGTCTGCCACACCCACTAGAGCACAGATTTAATCCAGGTCAGCCAGGGCAGGCAACCCGCCCTAAGGATCAGCCCCACCTAACAGCAAGCCCTCAGGCTTCTTTTCAGCCTGCATTG